CCGGCATGTTTATGCCATAGGGCGTGCAATACAAAAGCTTTACAATAGCAGTACGCGAGCTGTACAATGTGCAAAGTGCACCGCCGTTGCACATGACCTGCAGGTAGCACATGCATTCACAGGATTCGCAGTCGCGTATGACATTCGCAATCCCTTGCGTTTGGCGATACGCTCGCATTAAAAGTCACCTGGTCGCGTTTAGGGTCGCGTAAAACTCGCGAATTCATTCGCCACATTCGCATGTGCATACGCATTCGCACCATTCACAGGCGTNTGCGTTACACCTATAGCTAAGCTAACGCTCGCGTTAAAAGTCACCTGTGTTACGTTAAGGCTTATCACAACCAGTCATGGTGGTGTCAAAAGACACCGGATGCGATACACCACGGACGTTCCAACGGGCTGAGATCAACTGACAGGTTGTCGGTTGTGTAAACTGTGACAGTTGTCAATCATACAGTCACGTCGATCGACCTATCCTATCAAGGAAGGTTAAAAGAAGTCCCGCAGGGCTACGGTCACCAATTACCGATCGTATATAATTCGGTGCGGATGCCTGGTAGGCATGAGTAGTCTAGCGCTGCTATTACTACTGGTGTCATGGTCACACCCACCTCGCACCTTTACCATCTAGTGTGGTCTAGACAAACAGATCTGTTTTCTGCTGCTACATTTCGCTTTATTCTGGCGTGTCTCAACCAGACTCACTACAGATTTGGTATTGAGACCATAGGTCCATGGGACAGCGGCAGTCCCTCATTCCGGGCCGCATTGATAGGGAGTGCGAATATTTCGCACGTCTGACTATCTCTCCCATGAACGGGGCAGGCGGAACAAACGACCTCGGTGGGTCACTCGACGTCGCTATGGCGTCAGGCTCCTCAGGGAACCCAGCGGGTGAGGCTGGTGCTGCCGCTCCCCCGTTGGCACCCGTTGTGCCTGTGCCCGTCGCACCTGTTGGTCAACCAGTAATCCCTATTGCTGGAGCACCCGCCGCTGGCGCAATTCCAAACCCCGCACAGCCCGTTGCTGTACCAGCAGCTGTTGCGGTCGCACAGCTCCCGGATGCACAGATGGTACGTAACATCCCTGCACCAAAGTTGCCCGTTGCAACACCCGTAGAACCCGACCGAATTCATGCATTCGTGGCTGATGTTCGGGATTACTTTGTTCTTGTTGGCTGGCAAGCTAACATTCCAGCGCAAAAGTTGTTTATCAGTGGGGCTTTGGAGGGATTCTTCAAAGAGTGGCACATTACATGGACCAAGTCGGTTCCTGACTATACCCCAGATCAGTTGCTGGACGCCTTCCTGATCAGGTCTGCCCCGGAGATGTACTCTCGCACGCACGTAGCGCGCACTACCTTCTATAGCGCTACTTTTAAGCAAGAGCT